CCGCCTTCTCGGCCTTCTCCCTCGAGCGCCACCCCGTCCTCGCCCGCTCCGCCTCCGCCTTCTCCGGCCAGCTCGCCGAGCTCGAGCGCGCGCTCGCCGTCGACGCCGCCGCCTCCTCCACCCCGGACCCCGCGGGCCCCATGGTCTCCGTCGACAGCCTCCGCGCCTACCTCCAGATCGTGGACGTCGCGTCCATCCTCAGGCTCGACCGGGACATCGCTGACCACGCCTTCGACCTCTTCAAGGAGTGCTCCACCGCCACCTGCCTCAGGAACCGCAGCGTCGAGGCGCTGGCTACGGCCGCGCTCGTCCAGGCCATCCGCGAGGCACGGGAGCCCAGGACGCTGCAGGTTTGTTTCTGCTGCGCTCGTGCTCTCTTTATATTTGTTCCAAATTCTCCCGTGCGGAGATTCATAGGCATATATGGGTGTGTTTCTCCAAGCAGCCAGGATTTGGACTAACCAGCAACGTTAGTTAAGTTCTGAAAAGAAAAGATGGATTTCCACAATGTAATTTAAGATTTAATTGCTTCAAAATTGGGGATCTTGTTCATGAATTCTCTAGTCCATTCAATTTTCAAGCAACTCAACAGGTGATCCCTCTATGGACAGAATTGTTGTTGGATGATATGCTGATTTCCAGTAAACTGATTTAAGGACCAAAGTCTCTAATCTCCTGATCAATTTACTGAAATGGCTCTACCTTGTAGTATTGCATTTTATGGAGCATCTGGTCTTGTCAACTTGAATATACGAGGATAGCATTTGCTCTATTTTGTCGAATTATATAATTATGTATGTCACAAATACCTTGATTCAACCTAACAAAACCACATTAGTCAATGGCTGAACCGAATGCCGAGTCAGCCTTGGATCATGGCAATTTCTATTGTGTAAACTAGCATGGTGTTTGCGCGGGAAATAATTTAATCATGTGATTGTGGAAATATTTTAATAATCTATTTATCTTAATCTACCTATGATTATTATCACAACAACAATATATCTATGATCTGTTTTGCCTTTTGATATCAGATCAGTACACAGAATTAATCGAGCCTAGTATGCGACAAAAGCAGTCGAGCCTTGTCCTAGGTATATATTACCAATTACACCGGAATAATCATCATATTTGTCATTTGCATAGTACACGAAAGCAGTGAGTCTGGTATGCCTCTGCGGAGCGTATTTTAACCATGTTTACCTTTTATTAGGGTATGTATGTATCATTGCCATAACACCACATGAGACTGTTGATTGTTGACAGTTACAAGAAAGATAGTTAGTTGGTTGTTTACAAAAGAGATTGGTCGTTGAACTTGAACATGGTATTAGATCGATGTGATGGAGTTAATGTCCAGATCGAAATATGTTGGTCGTATGTATGTATTAAGCCAGAACGTTGTTTGTATATTACGTTTGTCTATTGTATTAAATGGTGCCCAGAACAGAAATTAGGATCGCTAACCCTGATGTTGGATCAACACATATGGGATGTTTTTCATTTCTTACCTTCTTTTGGTGTTTGATTTGGAACTCCCACTGTCCCACGGGCAATAAGGGTGCATGTGTATTCTGGTGGACGGATATCCTTCAAAAGGATAGATAGACATAAAACCAACGTTCTTGTGTGTTAATGCCCAAACCTAAAATTCAGAAGACTGAATGATGTTTCCTTATAATAGTATGCACCATCTAGGATAGGTATTTACAAGATCAATGGTTGGATGCATTTAGCTGCAATTATAAAGGTTTACATGTCTTGATTCATTGAGAGTTAATGTTCCACTTAGATAGGCTATATTGTTTTTCTAATGAGATTGTATAGTATTTTTGTGTGTGCTTGTGATCTTTCGATCAATTCGGTCTCCTAGTTGAGACCTATTGTTCAGAGTGGATCGCAAAATTAGCCCTATATTCCAGACTTTGCACCACCACCACCAGGGACGGAGCTAGACAGATCGTGGAGCCTGGGCAAAGAATAAAAGGCACTGAGCTAGCTTTAGCCCATTAATCGACTGCCATTTTTTCATGATTGGCTCAAATTCCAATGGAACATCCTCGGCTGAGCGTGGGCAGTTGCCTGGGGTCACCGGGAGCTAGTTCTGCCACTGACAACAACGTAACTATGTCATCCAGGAGCCGCCCTACATGCCATGTATATATGCATCAGAGCGGCTGCCTAATTAATCTGCTAATCCTACTTAATCTCTCTTTGGTAAACAGTGCCAACCATCATGATGTACTAAATACATGCTACATTAGTCTATGTAGCAAAATTTAGAGATAGTGGCTATATCCATATTATTAAGAAAAAACCATGGCGCGTACCTGCACGTGCATGTGGAGAGACATAAAAGGGGCAAACAAATTAGGAAGGTCACAGCACTGAAGAGATCAAAAAGTGACATACGTGTTCGTGTTTTCGTGTTGGTTTTGATTAACCTCAAGTATAGGAGATTCATGATTTACTGCTGTGTTGCATAGGTAATATGGGTCCACCAGTCAATGAAATTGAGTGCAAATATGAACATCTAATGGTTATTTTTCTCGAAAAAAAAATCTAATGGTTATGTTTTCTTGATATAAAGAGGGCCTGCCAGATCAATGGTCAGATGTTCTGTTTTTTCGTGAGAATTTCTAGCATATCTCTCTATTTTTTTCTTCTGCATTGCGCTTTTCTCATATATAATAGTAGATAGAAAGTAAGTATACTTGATGTACCATTTTTGGTTATTGCTGTATCTTTTAGTTAGCGCTGATCCATATTCTGTTTACTGCATTTCCAGGAAATTTCCACAGCTAGCAATCTTCCTCAGAAAGAGATAGGAAAATACATCAAAATACTAGGCGAATCTCTTAAACTGAGCCAACCTCTTAACAGCAATTCAATAGCAGTTCACATGCCTCGGTTTTGCAACCTCCTCCAGCTCAATAAATCAGCCCAGGTATCAGAGGAGCTGAAAACCTGATACACCATGAAAATAAATTTGCCCTGCTTTTAACATACTTTGTGTCGTTTCCTCAGGAACTTGCAGCCCACATTGGTGAGGTGGTTGTTAATAAATGCTTCTGCACACGGCGAAACCCTATAAGCATATCTGCTGCTGCTATCTACCTAGCATGTCAGCTTGAAGACAAGCGCAAGACCCAGGCAGAGATCTGTAAGGTTACAGGCCTTACAGAGGTGACCCTACGCAAAGTGTATAAAGAGCTGTTGGAAAATTGGGACGATTTGCTACCCCCCAACTACACACCAGCTACACCACCGGAGAAAGCTTTCCCGATGACAAACATATATTCAGCGCGTTCGTCGAGCGGAAAAGATCTTTATCAGGACAAGTTGCTAGATAACATCAAGCAAAAAAGCTCTGAAGCTGCAGAGCCTGATCACATGGTAATCGTAAGAGAGGATGAAGATAAGAAAACCGCTCCTCCTGGCTGGCCTCCTTCAAAGCATGAGCCCCATGACTTGAACCAGGCGGGCTGGCAGCCGAATGTCCCATTTTCGGCGCCTCCAAAGTCGGACCGCGACAATATGGAGACGAACGTTCGTGGGTTTAACCTCAATGAGGAATCATGCCCGATGGATTGTGAAAAGCCAGACGTCTCAATGAAGCCGCCCTTTGGCGATCGATGGCCGACTGAACCAAAGGTGCTTCCATCTCCTCCCAGCAGACAGCCTCTGCCATGGCAGCTTAAGCAAGCGGGGCCGGCAACCGGGTCATCATCTTATCCGAGGAGTCGTGAGACGCAGCTGGGCCTGGGCATGGACTTTCTGTCTGGGCGTGGGAAAAGGAGCGCTGCGGATGGCGGCGATGGCCGTGATAAAGAGGGCAAGTGAAGTGAAGGTTGCAGCTGCGGATGTTTATAGCGAAATTAGAAGAAATCAGCTGTGTAGATATAGACGTTTATCTATAGTCGAGATTAATTTGACAACATGATGCATCATATAGATGATGAATTTTACTTCATAATGTGTAACCTGACACTTCCAAATTATTTAACTTGCCAGCTCTCATAATGTTTCGTGTAACCAATTGGCGTGCCTTTCAATTTTTTGCATTGCCTTGCACAATCTATACCAAGAAAACAGCAGCGCCCATTTTGAACACGGAGATTTTCAATGGATCTTCCAGTAGTTGATCCTCTCATGCAACATTCTTGAGTTAAGTTCATGAGAGATACAATTGAGTTCCTAGCAGTGAATACAGGCGAAAAATCGCCATGGTTTTGCCAGACAAATGTGTGCTGTATGAAGAACAACTGTTGCAGTGTATTTGAACAAATTTGAAGGACCCAGACGCAAAAACGCACTCCGAACTGGATAATACAGCACGATAGCGAAGCAGAGGCCTTCCAACGCCTCCTCCCTCGCCGCTCTCCCTTCCTTCCGCTCTCATCCCCTCCCCCTCCCGTCGCCATGGCCGTCTCCACCTCCACCTCCACGCTCCCACTCCTCTTCCTCCACCGCTCCACCGCAAGCCCGAACCCCTCGGCGCTCTCCTTCGCCTCCTCCCTCCGCGCGTCCCCGCTGCGCTCCCGCGCCTCCGCCTCCGCCGCCCCGCCAGCTGAGACCCTCGCCGACGACCTGCCCTCCGACACGCCCCCGGTACGTGGCCACGCGGGACGATACGTTGGCGTGCACTCTCGCCGATACGTGTTGCGAAACTTGTAAACTGCATTGTACACGGTGTTCTCATTAGTGGCGTGTAATTGCGTGGAGGCGTTGGGGCAGTTCGTCTATCTGTTGGAGGTTTGTTTTTCAGCGATTGTAATTGTTGTGCCCGTGGTTTCATTTCAGGTTGGGGAGGGGTCGGGAATTCCGATGCCGTCGTCGATTGGGGAGGATGGGGAGGAGGTACCTTATCCACGAGCTTAAACCTTTCATGGTTATTATTATGTTGGCAAATGTTTCCATTCGAGAACTGTTATTGATGCGATTACATGTTAGCACATTGCCTCCATGTCTCGTGATTGCTGCATACTTGCATACAACCATGTCAAATGAAATGGGTGTGTAGTGTGTTGATAAGCTAAGCTAAAAACTGATACCACGTAATAAGCATGGTGACTAGTGGTATTATGCGGTGTAAAATTCTTCACGGGTTCTTGGTTAGAAAAATGGTGACTGCATTTAAGTCGGTGCACCTTAAGCATTTGACTTGTAAATTGTAATAAAATGTTGCTGGTGTGAGTGTGTTTTGGATGTGGGAATGCTGTGTCACCTTAGATAACATGAAGTCCTTAGTGTTTCACTTTGGCTGTTAATGAGTTATGCCGAGTTACTACCACTAGCCATCATGTTGTCTGAGAGGTTGCACATGAAATATTGAAATGTGGTGATATACATTTTGAAGTCTTGCCTTTTCAACCAAGTGATGATGTCATCCAAGTTATGTGTGGGTAACAGCGGCGAAGTGTTTCATGTTGTGCCCTTTACCTGTCTATATCCGTTCTTGTTGAACACTTTCTCCTCTCACTCTTGTAGTTTCTCCATGTCGACATTCTTCTAAATTCTTCTCTAATCTTCTGTTCTATATTTGCCCAGCCATTATTATTGCATATAATATATACAAATATTTTGTAACGATATATCAGCATTATCCTTTCTGTGATTAGCTCTTCTTTGTG